GTAGTAGTAGTAGTAGTAGTAGTAGTAGTAGCAGTAGTAGTCTAGCATTATTAGTCTACATGAGAACAGATCAGAAAAATGTGTAATATGAACTCTTTAATGCCACACTGTGGAACATTCTGCATGATGACATCTCCAGAAAAGACCCCAGGAAATGTACATGTACATATTGCATCTTTTACTGCATAGGACTTTTCCAGTAGTTTTTTTTTTTCATTCAGAGTGTAGTTTTGTTCCATAGATCCGTGCGTCTTTTGTAAACACGGAGGTTTTGTCCAGACTGAAACTGAAACTTTCTCTTTTTGTGTTTGGAGCTGTGATCGTATCGACGGGAGGGACGGATCGTAACAGCTGAAGGGACAGGTTTACCATCAGAGCCACGACCTATTTCCCACTGGAGACCTGGTTTAGTCCTGGTTTAGACCTGGTTTAGACCTGGTTTAGACCTGGTTTAGACCTGGTTTAGTCCTGGTTTAGACCTGGTTTAGTCCTGGTTTAGTCCTGGTTTAGACCTGGTTTAGACCTGGTTTAGTCCTGGTTTAGATCTGGTTTAGACCTGGTTTAGACCTGGTTTAGTCCTGGTTTAGACCTGGTTTAGTCCTGGTTTAGTCCTGGTTTAGACCTGGTTTAGACCTGGTTTAGTCCTGGTTTAGATCTGGTTTAGTCCTGGTTTAGACCTGGTTTAGACCTGGTTTAGTCCTGGTTTAGACCTGGTTTAGACCTGGTTTAGTCCTGGTTTAGACCTGGTTTAGACCTGGTTTAGTCCTGGTTTAGTCCTGGTTTAATCCCGGTTTAGTCTTGTTTAGTCCTGGTTTAGACCTGGTTTAGACCTGGTTTAGTCCTGGTTTAATCCCGGTTTAGTCTTGTTTAGTCCTGGTTTAGACCTTGTTTAGACCTGGTTTAGTCCTGGTTTAGTCCTGGTTCAGTTCTGGTTCAGTTCTGGTTTAGTCCTGGTTTAGTCCTGGTTTAGTCTTGGTTTGGTCTTGGTTTAGTCCTGGTTTAGACCTGGTTTAGTCCTGGTTTAGTCCTGGTTTGGTCCTGGTTTAGTCCTGGTTTAGTCCTGGTTTAGACCTGGTTTAGTCCTGGTTTAATCCCGGTTTAGTCTTGTTTAGTCCTGGTTTAGACCTGGTTTAGACCTGGTTTAGACCTGGTTTAGACCTGGTTTAGTCCTGGTTTAGTCCTGGTTCAGTCCTGGTTCAGTTCTGGTTTAGTCCTGGTTTAGTCCTGGTTTAGTCTTGGTTTGGTCCTGGTTTAGTCCTGGTTTATTCCTGGTTTAGTCCTGGTTTAGTCTTGGTTTGGTCCTGGTTTAGTCCTGGTTTAGTCCTGGTTTAGTTCTGGTTTAGTCCTGGTTTAGTCCTGGTTTAATCCTGTTTTAGTCCTGGTTTAATCCTGGTTTAGTTTTGGTCTAGTCCAGGTTCAATTCTGGATTCCCTCACATATTCAATCAATTTTTGACAGATCGTTTAATGCCATAGTGCGCAACATTTCTTGAAAAAAAGCAGATGCTGGACTTAAATTTAAAGCTGCACTGTGGAACATTTCAGGTCGAGGATTACATCACCAACAAATCTCCACGGAGACGAACGTTTTCCAGGGATTTCTGAGCGAGCGTTTGTAACATAATTGAGACCGATCGATTTAAAGCTACACCGTGAAACATTGGAGGCAAGGCGATCGCATCTCCACGGAGACAAGCGTGCAAGCCAACCCTCCTGCAGAAAAATTCCACAGTGCAGCTTTAAGAAAACTGTTTATGTTCGTGAAACGGCCGTGATCCGCCGCTGCGTTCGGAGAGACTTCCTTTACCTTCCATGAGAGGCCCCGATTGTGCCAGAGTCATCCCAGAAAAGGTGTGCCTCCCCTGGGACAGACGCTCTTTGTCCTCCCCCTCTCTTTGGACGATTACCATCAGCTGTTCTTTCTCTTTCTCTTATGTAACAACTTCTAACTTTACAGATGGATTTTTTTTTTCCTCCCTCCTCCTCTTCTCTTCTTCTTCCTCGTCTTGTGTTTTGGAGGATTATTTTACACAACTGGAAGTGCGGACATTCCCTGAACGCTCCGATTTCTGCTCGTTTAATCGGTGTGTGGTGTGTTTCCGGAAAAGTTACACAGTGAAACTTTAAAGGATGATGTTTATGTTTGTGAAGTGGTTTAGTTTAATTGTGTTTACAGTCCTGGTTTAGTCCTGTTATAGTCCTGGTTTAGTCCTGGTTTAGTTCTATTACAGTCCTGGTTTGGTCCTGGTTTAGTCCTGGTTTGGTCCTGGTTTGGTCCTGGTTTAGTCCTGGTTTAGTCCTGGCCTAAATTTGTTATAGTCCTGATTTAGTCCCATTTTAGTCCTGGTTTAGTTCTATTACAGTCCTGGTTTGGTCCTGGTTTAGTCCTGGTTTGGTCCTGGTTTAGTCCTGGTTTAGTCCTGGCCTAAATTTGTTATAGTCCTGATTTAGTCCCATTTTAGTCCTGGTTTAGTCTTAGTGTAGTCCTGGTTTAGTCCTGGTGTAGTCCTGTTTTAGTCCTGGTTTAGTTCTGTTATAGTCCTGGTTTGGTCCTGGTTTAGTGCTGGTTTAGTCCTGGCCTAAACTTGTTATAGTCCTGGTTTAGTCCTGGTGTAGTCCTTGTTTAGTCCTGTTACAGTCCTGGTTTAGTCCCGTTATAGCCCTGGTTTAGTCCTGTTTTAGTCCTGGTTTAGTCCTGTTATAATCCTGGTTTAGTCCTGGTTTAGTCTTGGGTTAGTCCTGATTTAGTCCTGGTTTAGTTCTGTTACAGTCCTGGTTTAGTCCTGGTTTAGTCCTGTTTTAATCCTAGTTTAGTCCTGGTTTTGTCCTAGTTCAGTCCTGTTATAATCCTGGTTTAGTCCTGTTACAGTCTTGGTTTAGTCCTGGTTTAGACCTAGTTTGGTCCAGTTATAGTCCTGGTTTAGATCTGGTTTAGTCTTTTTATAGTCCTGGTTTAGTCCTGTTATAGTAATGGTTTAATTGTGTTATAGACGTAATTTAGTCCTGTTAAAATCCTGGGTTTAGTCCTGGTTTAGTCCTGGCCTAAATTTGTTATAGTCCTAGTTTGGTCCTGGTGTAGTCCTGGTTTAATGCTGGTTTAGTCCTTTTATAGTCCTGATTTAGTCCTAGTTTAGTCCTGTTAAAATCCTAGTTTTAGTCCTGGTTTAGTCCTGCAATTGTCCTGTTATAGTCCTGGTTTAATTGTGTTATAGTCCTGATTTAGTCCTGGTTTAGTTCTGATTTAATCCTTATGCAACTGCTTCTAACTTTACAGCTGCTTTTTTTTTTTTTTTTTTTTTTCCTCTCTTCTCTTCTTCCCGGTCTTGTGTTTTGGAGGATTATTTTACACAACTGGAAACATGTCAATTCCCTGAACTCTAAACTTTCTATTGATTTAATTAAAACCGGTTTTAGAACACGAAACGCGATCGTCTGAGTTCTCACGATATCGAAATACACTGAACTTTCTTCCTTCCAAGTACCGAGGCGGCTTCCAGAAACGATAGAGCGTTTCCAGAGCGGAGGAGAAACAGCTGAGGTTCACATTTTCGAGGGTTAAAACTTATCACGCTTATATTAATGAACTTTGTAAAACTTTATAAACGTGATTTTAAATTTTTTTAGGTCTTAAAAAGTGTGAAAAACAGAGCCGGTTCATTTTAAACTGCTTCAGGGTTCCCGCTTCTTTTTCACGGACAAAATTTTAAAACTTTTCCATGAGTTTTTCACGACTTAAAGTGAATTTTACCTGATTTTACGGCTCCTACGTTTAGTCCTGGTTTAAGTTCTGGTTTAGTCCTGGTTTAAGTTCTGGTTTAGTCCTGGTTTAAGTTCTGGTTTAGTTCTGGTTTAAGTTCTGGTTTAGTCCTGGTTTAAGTTCTGGTTTAGTTCTGGTTTAAGTTCTGGTTTAGTTCTGGTTTAAGTTCTGGTTTAGTCCTGGTTTAAGTTCTGGTTTAGTTCTGGTTTAAGTTCTGGTTTAAGTTCTGGTTTAAGTTCTGGTTTAGAGCTGGTTTAGTCCTGTTACAGTCTTGGTTTAGTCCTGGTTTAGTCCTGTTACAGTCTTGGTTTAGTCCTTGTTTAGTCCTTGTTTAGTCCTGGTTTAGTTCTGTTATAGTCCTGGTCTAGTCCTGTTACAGTCTTGGTTTAGTCCTGTTATAGTCCTGGTTTACTCCTGGTTTAGTCCTTGTTTAGTCCTGGTTTAGTCCTGGTTTAGTCCTGGTTCAGTCCTGGTTTAGTCCTTGTTTAGTCCTGGTTTTGTCCTTTTAGTTTAGTCCTGGTTTAGTCCTGTTATTGTCCTATTATAGTCCTGGTTTTGACCTGGGTCAGTCCTGGTTTAGTCCTGATTCAGTCCTGGTTTAGTCCTGGTTTAGTCGTATTATAGTCCTGGTTTAGTCCTGTTACACTCTTGGTTTAGTGCTGATTTAGTCCTGTTACAGTACTGTAGCTGTAGTAGTGACAGTAGTAGTTGTAGTAGTAGTTGTAGTAGTAATAGTACTGACAGTAGTTGTCATGACAATAGTAGTAGCAGTAGTACTAGTAGTACTAGCAGTACTACTAGCAGTAGTAGTGCTAGTAGTAGTAGTAGTAGTAGTAGTAGTTTAGTCCTTGTCCCTTTATAAATCTTGGTTTAGTTCTGATTTGAGTCTAGTCTAGTCTTGGTTTAGTCTGGATCTCTTCCTGACTGAGTCCTGGTCTGGTTTGGATCTTGAGTCCTGACTGAGTCCTGGTCTGGACCTGGTTCAGTTCTCATTTAGTCATGATTTCATATAAATGCGTAAGTCCTGGTTTGATTCTGACGTAGTCCTGACTCTGTCCTGCTCCGTCTTGATTCGTTTTATATTTCAGACTTATACATTTAGCATTAGTCCAGATTTAGTCCTTCGCCTAATCTCCTTTCTGCCGTTTTGACCGATTTCACCTCTCATTTACTCCTCCTCTCCTCCACTCCGCTCCTCTCTCCATCACCGCGCACCCATCCATCCGTTTCATTCATACACTCAC